TCTTTCTTTCTTTCTTTCTTTCTTTCTTTCTTTCTTTCTTTCTTTCTGTCTTTGATTAAAATATTAAGCATGGACATCAAACATAGCCAACCAAACTTCATTTAGTAACTATTTATGCTTCAATTAGTTAATCTCATGCATAAAGAATCTTAACAGTTTTCCAGGCACACCCTGGAGTTCTCAGGAGTCTTGACTATGCATTCTCATTCATCTCCGTTAGCCAGTTTACACTTCCTTCTTTTGGTTCTCCTCATCTTCCTTCCGCCACACATACCTTGCACTGTAAGTCCCTTTAATCATCGTGTTTTTAGTTTCCTTATTCACATAAAGTAGGGGAACTGCAAAAGATGGCTTCCCTTTGACTTTCTGAGTCTATGAATCCATCAAACCTACAGGGTACCACATACGTGCAACGGCATGCCTCTAAAATACCAGGGAATATGCATTTCTGACTGGTCTGGCCTCATGCCTACCCATTCCTTAAAACAAGGTTATGCATTGAGCCTTAAGTACTAGTGTTATCATTTTGTGTAGTAATTACATAGATAAGTGTAGTGACTGCAGAGGGCAGATTTAGGAACAGCAGGTGGAAGGCTTGATATCAAGAAAGACATTCTAAAAGCTAAAATTATCTTAAAGCACAATGGGATAGATGCTTGGAAGGAGTTAGGGGGTTTTCATTCATTGGAAGCCTTTAAAACAAAGTCTGGATGGCTCCTTCTCTAGAATGTTGGAAACCAGGTAGAAGGGGCACATGTGGATTGGACTCAGTCCCTGCCAGCTCTGAAATTCTGTGATTCTGTAAAATGCAGAACACAATTTCTCCTTGTCTCTTGCCCTCTAAATAATTCCTTCCAGAGGCTTATGCTAGCTTAATATCCAAGGTGTGAGAGAAGGGGCTTGTTATTCGGACCTGCATACTGAATAGCTTATTTTGATGTGTTGGTACAGTAAAACAGAGTAATGCCTTCAGATGGTAAAGGAGGGAAGGAAGATGCAGCTCAGTCACATCACACCGCTGTGATTAAAATAGAGCTCTCTTGAAATCCTTAACCGGTGTAGGTGGGGGAGAGCTCATCCGTGTCACAGACATAGGAAGCCAAGTGCAGCAAGTCAGACGGTGGTTTGACTCAATCTCTGTGGCTAGGTCTGTTTAGCCAGCATGCCCTCTGTTGCTTAAAATCAAGTTGTTGTAAGGAGTATGACCAGAACAGGACGAATGAAACTATTCAAATCGCCGTCAGCTCCGTGTTCTTATTGATAATAATAATGATCATCATCATCATCATTTATGTAGCACTTAAAAAATTTGTAAAGTGTTATATTTATTTCATTTGCTCTTCACAACAACCCTGTGAAATAGAAGATATTCTTATTCCCTTTTTATAGATGAGAAAACAGGCTGAGAAAGGTTAGGTGATTTGCCCAAGGTCTGTCTGAAGCGGGATTCAGACTTTGGATAGTCAGTGAAGCCCTTGGGGAAGTATATAATTGGAAGCTGGGCAATTAACAAACCTAATAATGTTGTGCCTCTTGCATATTTGCTAATGTTCCCTACCATAAGGATATAGTTGGGATGGAGAAGAAGACTGTGAACCAGGTATTGAACTGTTGAGATCATCTACAGGGATGTCATTTGGACCAATGCTACTTCTTGTACTTAAAGGGATGGTAATGATCTCTTAGGGGCAGCAGCCAGGTGGCAGGGTGGATAGAGTGCTGGGCCTGGAGTCAGGAAGACTCATCTTCCTGAGTTCAAATCTGGCCTCAGACACCAACTGTGTGACCCCAGGCAAGTCACTTCACCCTGTTTGCTTCAGTTTATCCTCTGTAAAATGAACTGGAAAGGGAAATGGTAAACTACTCCAGCATCTCTGCCAAGAAAACTCCAAATGAGGCCACAAAGAATCAGACACAACTGAAATTACTGAACAACAACCAAAAAATGGGCTAATAGAGCTAATGAGCCCTGAGTGACTGACTCAAATACAGGAGTGACTTAGTCCCTAGAGTATTAATGAACTACTGGTCATCACCATTTTTATACAATACAACTGAATACTAGAAAAGAGGAAGAAAGAGTCAGAACAAAAATGAACTGGCTTAGAAAAATTTTCTAAAACTTGTTATCTTCCAAAAGGCTTTTCTAGATTCTCTTATGAAAGAAAATTTAAAAAAACACATCAAATTAATATTCTGCCCCCCTCCCCATTGTTATTGCAAAACAGCTGTTGAAAATGTGGTAGTTTGTGATTCTCTGTCAATAATAATACCAACCCCTATTTGCATAGTGGCAGTTCACACATTCATTATGTCATTTGCTCCTGAAGTGGGTTCTATTGTTAGCCTTCTTTTACCATCAGGGAATAACCCCTAGTTTGAGGAACCCAGGCTTAGAACCATCCTTTAAGGGAGCTAGATTTCAAAGAGAGGCAAATGGTATTATAAGTAAATTGCTTACTGCAAAATATTTTGTATGTGATTTATGAGTTAGTAGTATGATTTTATACCAGGATTATTATTATTATTATTATTATAATTTTTTTGGTTGAGACCTATGGTTTCATCAGTGTAGGGAAGCTCCAGTGAGAAATCTTCCTCCAGTGACACAGAATGGCAACTCATTTGTACAATGGCCTGGTTATTTAGACACCAAGAGGTTAAGTGACTTGCCTAGGGTCATCCAGGTAGCGTGTGTAGGAAACAGGATTTGAACTCACTTCTTGATATAATTTCAGCCATTTATTCACTACCTCACTGCCTCTCATTCCAGTAATAAACTCTGGCAAATTATTAATAGTAGTGATGAAGACTTTGGAGAGATAAAGGTAGGGAAATAGCTTGGTGCAGCATTAAGAATGTTGGATTTGGAGACAGAGGTCCTGGATTTAAATCTTGATTTTGCCATTTGCTATTTACTTGTATGTCCTTACGCAAGTTACTTTTCTGTGCCTTAGTTTCTCTGCTAGATGGCACAATGATTAGAGCCCTAGGCCTGAAGTACGGAAGACCTGAGTTCAAATCCAGTCACAAACTAGCTGTGTGACCCTGGATGAGTCACTTAACCTCTATTTGTCTCAGTTTCCTCATCTGTGCACAGAAAGGTTTGGATTCATTGACTCTCCAGTTCTAACTCTGATCCTATGATCATGCCACTTCTCTAACCAAAAACTTTCATTGACTCCCCTTTGTTTGCATGATAAAGTATGAACTCTTGGTCCTGGGGTTCAAGGCCCTCCACCACCTGGTTCTATCATCCCTTTAAAGCCTTCAGTTCATGTGTCTCCCCTTTTTATAGAATCTAAATTTAATCAAATAGAATGGCATTGAGTCATCAATTCTCATCTTATCCACCATCTTGGTACCTCTGTTCACAGCATCTCATCCTTGGGATGACTCTTCTTTATCCTTCTCCAGGTGTTGACATTCTCCCCTTTTTTCAAGGCCTAACTCCAAAAGAAAGTAAATTTCTTGAGGGTAATGACAACGTCAATTTTTTTGTCTGAATATCCTCTACACATAGCACAGTGTCTAGTGCTTAATAGGTGATTTACCAATAGTTATTGAATTCAATTGAGTTCAGCTGCCACCTCCTTGGTGCAACCCCTCTGTCCTGGGCCTCTCCTGTGTGCTGGTCTCATTCTCTCTTGTATTCTAAGTAATCTGTGTATGTTTTATCTGCTCCCTTTCTCCTGGTTAGATTGTCAACAAACACTTTGAAAGTAGGGCCTTTTTCCTATCTCTGTGAAGTCTAGTCTCACAAACAGCACATGGCATATAGCAGATACTTTTGAGTTGTAGAAAGATTTTTTGAGAATTTGTCCATTTAAAATTCAGTATTTTTCACTTGTGGAGTCAAAGAAAAATGAATTAGTATGACATCTAGAAAAACTAGTTGCTGTTCCCTAAGCTTCACTGCCCTCCCTGACCTGTAAAACTTTCGAAACAAATACAGAGTACAAAGTGTGTTTCTGTTAGATATAAGTGACAGTTTTTCAGGCTTATTCAATGGAGCAAAATGGGTATATGCTTCTTGCAGTTGCTGTGGGTGACATGGATGCCGGTATATCATCAACATTATTTCCTTAAATATAATGTCCATGACTTTTGTGGGGGAAATAGTGGTTTGGGAGTAACTTCTACGAATCATTTGCAATCACTGAGTCATTGGCATCAAGTTAAATAAAAAAGCTGACAGTGTCCTCTTCCTTCTGGTGCTTGGAATTGTTGATCTCACCATCAATTTATAATCACTTTACAGTAACAATAGATTTACCTTTCTTTGCACATATATATTTCATGAACATAGTTACATAGTGTTGTCTAAGGAGACAGGGAGCTTACGGAATTTGGGTTTAATGTGGACTCTTCCGTCCTTGAGAAGTTTATAATTTAATGAAGAAATTAAAAAAAAGGAAGGTAGAAAGGACAGGTAGGTGAAAAGGACTAATTAAACAATATCTATTAGCGATATTGTAGTGGGAAAAAGCCTGGGCAATCAGGACAGACCTGGGTTCAAATCCTGCCTCTGACACCTACTAGCTCTTAACTATTTGTAAGTCCCTTAACCATTCTACTTTCTGCTTTCTCATCAATAAAATGGAGATAATAATGCCTTTTCTAATAACCTACAGTTCTCCTCCACTCTGTCAAAATGAATAGATGAATAAATAAACAAGTGAAAAGCATTTATTATGCCATTACTAGATGCCAAGTACTATACAAAGTACTAGGGAGAGACATTCCTTACCTTCAAGGAACTGATATTCTTTAAAGAAAAATTGTTAATTTTATTGATATCTTTTGCTTTTATGTTGCCTACATTTGCCATTATATCACTTCTCCCATTCCCTCCAAGAGAAAGATAATGAATTTTGGCAGCTTGGTGGAATAGTGGAGGGAGTGATGCATGTGGAAACAGAAAGATCTGAGTTCAAACCCAACCTCAAACACTTATTAGCTGTGTGACCCCAGGCAAGTCATTTAACTTCTGTTTGTCTCAGTTTCTCCATCTGTAAAATGGGGGATAATAATAATATCACCTACCTCCTAGGGTTGTTATGAGGATCAAATGGGATAATATTTGCAAACCTTAAAGTGTTATATAAATACTAGCTATTATTATATTTATTATCATTATTGAAAAGAAGGAAAAAAAGTCAATTAAACTTATCAATATATGGAGAAATGAGCTTCCATTCTAACAGAGGGAGATTTTCATATATGGGGAGTGGTAGATAAGAAAGGCTGTTTTGATCTGAAAAGTCAGAGATGGTGAATGGAATCATAAGGGTGTTGATTAACATAGCTTCCAGAAGTAATGGTAATGTTGAATTGTTTATAGTTCCCAGGAGCTAGACCTGGAAAGGGGGTAGTGATGAAGGGAAAGTAGAAAGGGCAATGGACTTAACTTCATTGATTCTACCACTTGTGGGACCTTGGGCAAGTTATTTCACCTCTTGGGGACTCAGTTTCCTCATTTGTAAAAAAAACAAAAACAAAAACAAACGAGAGGGAGCTATTACAGTAGATGATCCTGCAAAAACTCAGAGTTAAAAGGGTCATCTAGTTCAATCTGAGCAGGAATCTTAGCCTTTTCTTGAAGATCTTTAAGGTCCCATTCCAGTTCTAAAACCCTAAGATCCTCTGGTTATGTGTTCTCCTCATACGATACGTCCTTTACAGTGGTCTCCACCTATCAGTTCAATCAGACACAACTTTATAAAGCACCTACTACATGCAAGGTGCTGTGATAGGCATGGAGAATACATAAAAATAAAGTAGTCCCTGCCCTCAAGGAGCTTGCATTCTGTTTTCATCCTACCTGTTCTTCTATTTTTTTGTAATCTCTGTTATTCCATGAAACCTTACCTAATTGCTCTGGGCATGGAAGCTTTCACTTCTATTAATGAATGCTAACTAAGCTCTGAGGATACAAACTCTTTGAATTCTAAATTTTAATTGTGAAGTCAGTCTACCCAACCAGGTTATAATCATCTTGAAAAAAAGAATGACACTTTTTTAAAAGTGCCCTCACAGTAATCAACTGAAGGCTTATCACATAGTATTTTCTCAATAAAGGTTTATTGAAATGGCTTTTCCATGATTCTCCATGTTTATTTGAAGATCATTCATACAATGTTGATTTGACTAATAACAATGGGACTGAAATACTACCTTCCTAATTCTATAGGCATTCTCATAAAGGTCCAAATCATTCAATAATTCCTCCATTATTATCCCACTCAAGTGCCCTGGTGAACTTGAGTTCTTGAAAACTATGCCAGTGGAACACTAACTCTGGCAAGTCCTAACAAGATGAAGTACATTCCTGATAATAGACTTTCATCCAAGGTCAAGTCTAGCTAAACTTGGAGAGAGTTGGTCACTAGGGACTGAATTTTTTTAACATACCAGATCATGAAAGCATTTATTAAGGCATTGCAGAATTGAATTCTGCACCAATGGAGGGAATATCCACACCTCTTGAAGTGTTAAAGTGTGTACTCTAATTCTAATTGAATGAGATGTCATTCCATTGGCTTAACTTTTTTGCATTTTGAAGAATTTCCTCCAATCACTGCTTGTTTTCATTATGTTGTCTTTTTCTTTGTTTTCTCCTTAGCATCTCCTCACCTTCTTTGTCTCTTTTTTGGAGATAGAAAGATATCATATCTGATTTGTCCTTGCCCATTTCCATATACATTTAATCAGCCCAGTTACCACCATGAATGAGGTAAGCCTGCTTTATGACTTAGAGTAAAATTCTTGGTTTCCTATGACACCACATTGTTATGCTCCAACAAATTGTCTTTCTTTTTTTTACTTTCTAGGAACCAATGAATTCAAGCTACTTTGAATACTTAAACGATTATAGTGCAGTCACTCCCAGTACAGATTATTTCATTGATGAGGGATTGTTTTGTTTTATGAAGGATGTCAGAGACTTCACAACGTTATTTGTACCAATTGCCTACTCCTTTATCTGTGTCTTTGGCCTACTGGGGAACATTTTAGTGGTGATCACCTTTGCTTTCTACAAGAAAGCCAAATCCATGACTGATGTCTATCTCTTTAATATGGCCATAGCAGACATATTATTCATCCTTACTCTCCCATTCTGGGCTGTAAATCATGCTACAGGCTCATGGAAGTTTAGCAACATTGTGTGCAAACTGACTACAAGTATATATGCCATCAACTTTAATTGCGGAATGCTTCTCTTGACCTGTATCAGCCTGGACCGATACATCGCTATCGTACAGGCGACCAAATCTTTCAGGCTTCGAACCCGGACATTGGCATATAAGAAGATGATATGTTTGGTGGTGTGGTTGTTCTCAATCATAATCTCAAGTTCAACTTTTATATTCAACCAAAAATATACAACACAGGGGAGGGAGGTCTGTGAAGCCAAATACCACACGACCTCAGAGGCGGTCAAATGGAAAATACTCATCCTGGCTCTCCAGCTTCTCTTTGGTTTCTTTATCCCTTTAGTGTTCATGATATTTTGCTACATGTTCATTGTCAAAACTTTAGTGCAGGCTCACAATTCTAAGCGGCATAAAGCTATCCGGGTAATTATTGTGGTGGTCCTCGTTTTCTTGGTCTGCCAAGTGCCCCATAATATGGTTCTTCTCGTGATTGCCAACAATACAGGTCAGCTCCGATCCTGCAGTAGTGAGAAGCTCATAGCTTATACAAGGAGTGTCACAGAAGTACTGGCTTTTCTGCATTGCTGCCTCAACCCTGTGCTTTATGCATTCATTGGGCAGAAATTTAGAAATTACTTTCTTAAGATCATGAAGGACCTGTGGTGTATGGGCAGTAAGCATAAGGCATCAGGCTTCTCTTGCTCTAAGATCTATTCAGAAAACTACATTTCCAGACAGACTAGTGAAACCTGTGAGAACGAGAATGCATCATCTTTTACTATGTAGTGTACTATGGATAAAAATAATCATGACAGGCTTTAGAAAATGATATCAAAGAATTTCCTTATCATCTGTTGGATAGCCAATTCTTGATTGTCTCAAAGTAGTGGAAGGATAGCATGGATCACTGAAAACCACAGGAAAAAAAAAAGAAACCAAAAGACCCGAGCCTGTTTTCACTCAATCGGTTAAAATCTGTTACCTAAACAAACCTTTTTCAAGTCAACCAATGGCCACATTTACTTGCTTTAGCTTCCATCTCTTTAATTCTTCCACCCACTCTCAAGCATTATTGTGACGTTATATGGTCAAAAGTCCAGCAGTAGGAAGAAGGAAGCAAGCAGCTTGGAATATCTGAGTTAGAAAAATGTCTCCTGCTGGAATGAGAAGTGGTTATGTTAACAGTAGTTCATTGAATCTTAGATTGAGAGCTAGAAGGAACTTTAGGGGTCATCTGGTCCAACCCAGTAATATAAAAGTATGGAAACTGAGAAACAGAGAAATTAAGATGCTTGCCTAAGAGCACACAGGTAATATGTGTTAGAACTGCTATTTGAACCTAGCCCTCTTTCCAAAGTAGTTCATGAGCTTCTGTGGATAAGACAGTCAACATTGTAATGGACTGAAAAAAAACTAAAACTAAAACAAAAAAAACCTGGTATAGAAAGAACTCTATTTTCTGTAGTTGGCACCTGTTTTATAAGCAATGAGGGAAAAAAACCTTCAAAAACCTTATGCTCTAATAGGTTTTTTAAAAAATTTTTACAATTTTTTAGTTTTACAGTTAATTAATTTTTCTGAGGCAGGGTAGAAATGACTTATTTCCTCTTACATCACAGAGTAGATAGACTGGGTAATTCTGCTTATTTACTCCCCCCAAGTTAGTCATTATATAGGTAATATTTGACTTCCTAGTGATTCTTTAAATGATCTTACTCTAAAAGAGAAGTTTGCTTTGATTTATCTTCAATTACTCTTTCCACTATGTCTGAGAAATTACATGATCCAAATGTTTTCTTGAAGTAGTATGTAGATACAGAATAATAATTGGGAAATTTAAAAAAATACCAATACTCTGAGAAAAATGTTGGAATGTGTGTCAATGAAGAATGCTTCACACAATACTGGATTGCTTTTGTAACCCTTTTCTAAGATGATGTCTAAAGAGTCAAGAAGTATATTTTTAGAAAAGAGCTTTATAAATAAAATCTTATTACACATTTGAAAAAGGTAGTATTTACTAGACTAAGGTCGGTTACTGAATGAGTAAATTGATGACTTCATTGATATATGAGAGTTTGGGAATTTTCATTACCCTAAATCACTAGGTACATGGAAAGTTGCCAGCAGATGACTCCAGTCAAAGAGAAACAATAGTTTATTCAGACAGTCTTTGATCTATGACTAAGAGCGTGAATGTGATCTACAAAAAGAAACATGTTATTTTATTTGAAAACTAGGTCAGCGACACCTTCTTCATAGACATGGCCAAGAAATGGGCAATTTTATATCCGTTAATTTTCCTGGTAATTGAAATGGCAGGTTTTTGTTTTTTTTTTAAGAGAGAGGGAGGTATTTTAATCACTTTTGATGGAAATCCAACTGTATTCTAAATGTAATTTAACATTAGCTTTGTGACACACAGTCATCTTTCAGACTAAGTTCTTATGCCTTGCTGCAGTGCTGTGCTGGCCTCAGGGCCCATCAAAATGTGCAAGGCTATTTGCACCTATAATAAGTGACTCCAGACCTTTAAGTTTCTATAGTTCCAGTGTCTGCTTTTTATAGCTTTTCTGTTTCCTCGTTTGCTATTATCTGTCATATCTTGTTATGTTTAAGGTACCTACTTCTGGATGGGCTCCCTTTTTAATTTGGTAGTTTTACTCTTCTCTGATCTAATAAAGCATGTTAAAGTTGAAGGAATCACAGGAGTAAACAGGCCCTGAGTGAAGGCCTAAGGAACTCTCTGTTGACCAAAGCTTTAGTGGAGTGACTTTGTTATATCTCTTTTTAGTCTTTAGGAGCCTTTTGTTTTCTGGATAAATACTAACAATATTTATCACCTCCATGAAATTCCTAATCTAAAGCCTCATTATGGTATGAAGATGACCCAAGGGTTTTGAAGGGTTTATCAGTGAAGTGGTAAGTTCTGGTAGCTTCCACCGTGCTGAAAAGACTTTGAGCAGGGTCCCTATGGCGTACCATATCTCCCTTCTGAGGACCAGTGTACCTAAGTGTGTCAGGGCTCATCATCAATAATTTGGAACCTTTGAGGATTAATTCTTTGGCTATGTTACCCCATGAAACAGGCAACAACAAAACTTTCAGTTTACAAAATGCTTTTACACAATAATCTTTTGAAGTAGTTATTACAAATTTTTATTATTCCCTTATTACAGATGAAGAAACTGAAATGCAGAGAGCTTAAAAGATCTGTCCAGAAAAGAACCCACAAGTACAAAAATATTTATAGCAGCTCTTTTTATGGTGGCAAAGAATCAGAAATTGTGGTAATGCCCCTCAATTGGGGAACAGCTGAACAAGTTATGGTGCGTGAATGTAATGGAATAGTATTATTCTATAAGAAATTATAAGCAGGTAGATTTCAGAAAAACCTGGAAAGACTTACATGAACTGATGCTGAATGAAGTTAGCAAAACCAGGAGGACATTGTACACAGTAACAGCGAAATTGTGCAATGATTAGCTTTGATAGACTTAGGTCTTCTCAGCAATACAATGATCCAAGATAATTCCAAAAGACTCGTGATGGAAAATGCTATCCACATCCAGAGAAAGAATTGTGAAGTCTGAATGCAGATCAAAGCATACTCTTTTCACTTTTTTTATTTTTTGTTTTTTCTTTCTCGTGGTTTTCCCCTTTTGTTCTAATTCTTCTTTCACAGCATGACTTAATGTGGAAATAGTTTAACATGATTGTAGATGTATAATCTATATCAGATTGCTTGCTGTCTTGGGGAGGAGAAGGGAAGGGAGGGCGAGTGAAAAATTTGGAACTCAAAATCTTACAAAATTGAATGTTGAAAATTATCTTTTCATGTAATTGGAAAAAAATAAAATACTATTAAGTGCAAAAAACAAAAGATTTGTCCAGCATTGTGGGCCTTTGAACCCAAGGTATCTGACTCTAGGACCAGAGCATTTTTCATTATACCAAACTACCATCACACCTTGAGGGACAGAATAAAAAGAGACAGGAGAAGAAACAGAAGAAAATGGGATGGAGGGAAATATACAGTTAGTAAACATAATTGTGAATGTGAATGGGATGAGCTCATTCATAAAATGGAAGCAGATGGCAGAATGGATAAGAAACCAGAAACCAACAATATAATGCTTATAAGAGACACTTGAAACAGAAAGAAACACACAGAGAGTTAAAATAAAGGGCTGAAACAGTATCTAATAAGTTTCAGCTGAAGTAAAAAAGGCAGAGGCAGCAATCATGATCTCAGACAAAGCAAAAGCAAAAATTGACTATATTAAAAATATAATCAGGGAAACTACATTTTACTAAAAGCTACCATAGACAATGAAGTAATATCACAATTTTTACAACAAGTTTCTTTCATAAAGGTCTCATTTTTCAAATATGTGGAAAACTGAGCCAAATTTATAAAAAATAAGAGCTGTTCCCCAATTGGTAAATGGTCAAAGGATATGAACAGGCAGTTTTCAGAAGAAGAAATAAAAACTATCTATAGTCCTATGAAAAAATTATCTATATTACTATTGATTAGAGAAATGCAAATTAAAACAATTCTGAGGTACCACTTCACACATATCAACAATAACAAATACTGGAAGGGAGGAGGCGAAATTAGGTACATTAATGCATTGTTAGTACAATTGTGAACTAGTCCAGCTATTCTGGAGAACAATTGGAACTATGCTCAAAGGGCTATATCATACCTTTGGACCTAGCAATACCACTAGAAATCAAAGAAAATCAAAGAAATCAAAGAAAAAAATAAAAAGAACCTATACATACAAACTTATTAATAATAGTTCTTTTTGAAGTGGCAAAGAATTCAAAATTGATGGCTTGCGTATCAATTGGGGAAATGGATGAACTAATTGTAGCATATGATCGTAATGAAGTACTGTTGTGCTATGAGAAATGATCAGGTGGCGGTTTCAGAAAAGAACATGACAAGACCTATATGAACCAATGCAAAATGAAGTGAGAAGTACTAGAAGATTATTGTGGATAGTAACAGCAAACTTTGTAATGACGATCAGCTGTAAAAGACTTCGCTACTCTGCCCAGTACAATGATTCAAGACAATTCCAAAGGACTCATGATGAAAAAATGCTATCCATCTTCAGAGAGAGAGAGAGAGAAATGATGAAATTTAAGTATAATTTTCTCTATTTTTATTGCCTTTTTTGTAATATGGTTAATGATTTCATAAGTATAGTGGAAATCGTATCGCTTGCCTTCTCAGTGGGCAAGGGAGGGGTGGAAGGGAGGTAGAGAATTTGGAACTCAAAATTTAAAATGACAAGGTTGCAAATAAATAATTTTTTAAAGTAAAAGAAAAAAAGAAACTGGGTCTATTTAGGATAGATAAAACATGGAGTTGGGATGGGGGAGGAGGAGTAATGGAATATATACTTTCAGTATTTGAAGGATTGTCATATGGAAGAGGAATTAGATTTATTCTGCTTGTCCCCAAAGGACAGAGCTAGAAACTGTGCTAGAAAGTAAAAGAAGTTAGATCTTAGTTCATTATTAGGAACAACTTCCTATAAATAAGAACCGTCCAAAAGTGGAGTGGACTTCTCCACAGGAGGTAAGTTTCTCATCACTAGATGCCTTCCAACAGAGACTTCCTTTCTAGAGATGCTGTAGGTGGATTAGTTGACCTATGAAGTTTCTTTCAACGCTGAGATTCTGTATTTCTATTCTGTAGTTACATGCATACACCTCAGGATGGAAGACAGGTAAGCTAGGTGAATATATATTGATTGTATTTTCAAATATACTTCTGGATTCCAGATACTATATTGGACCACTGTTTGTACCCTAAATGAGTTATTGCATCTCTTCAAAAGTCTTAACGCTCAAAAAAGTGTATGCACACAATTTGGTTCAAGTGAATTCCAGTTGTATGTACTTAATAATGGTAGTTGAGTAGTTACTGATGATTGATATATTTTTATA